CTAGGCTGGCCTTGATCTTGCTGTCCACCTGCCTCTTCCTCCAGAGTGCTGAGATTACAGGTTACTACATCCTCAGGAAGGGCTTACACCATTTACTTTGTGGTGTTGGAGATCAGCCTGGGGCCTTAGATATTAGGCAAAGCACTCTATCATTGAGCTATGCCCCAGCCTTCTGCTGAAGATTCTATAGGATGTGATAGAAATACCCACAAGATCTTCATTTCTGTCATTCCTGTGAAATGGAAAAGAGGGGATGCCATGTTGGGAACTGGGCCTTGGCCCTTATGGGAGGTCAGGGTAGGGATGGAATGGGAAAAAGAGAGTTTTTCCCTTTGCCGATGCTGATTGCTTTCCTTGTGCCTTTGTTCTGTCTTGCTGGCACTGGACTCCTGTGGGCTAGCCCAGCCTTGAATGGAGCAAATGAGAAGGGATTAAAGGCTCAGTGAGTTCTAGGGACAGTCAGGGACAGCACGGTGCCAGGGATAACCAGCAGGGGCTTCTGTCATACAAGCACTTCAGTGCACATGTCTGGCTGACGCTGGCAGCGAGGCTCTCTGGAAGAGGCTGTTGGTCAGGCCTCACCAGCTAGAGGCAGAGGCCACTGATGGTTCTGTGATGAGCACCATTCACCAGCCCGGTGTGGAGGGCCTTACGCTGCCTCAGAAATCCCTCCCCAGCGTGCAGGAAACATGGAAGGATCAGTCACCCAAAGGTGGAGACATCTGTCTATCCCTCCTGCTAATTCGCATCTTTAAGTAATGCTGACCCCCACAAGAGAATAAGGGGTGACCTTGGGGGCAGAGCCTAGAAACCATACTGGCGATACCAATGGGTAAAGAAATTTACTTGTTAAACAGTTCCCCTCCTGCCCTGCCACAGCTGCCTTCTCTTAGAGGTTTCCAGAGACAGGTCTCACCTTGGCTTTCTACAGCATCCCAGCACACGCACTGGAAATAGGACTTGGTACGACTCCCTTGCCAGTTAGCCCACGCACAGGGCTCACAGATGCCAAAGGACGCTTAATGCCTTCCAGTTCTGGATCCCCTGAACCTTGAAACACTCCACTCTGGAGAGGCCTGTATCCTCTGGACGAGTGAATGTCAGGTCAGTTTTCGTACTGCCTCAGCTCCACCAGAGTCCAGTTTCTCCATGACTTGTCCACACCTTCTACAGGGTCCTGGTGCTCTAGAGGCTTCAGTAGCTTTTCTACCTGGACTCTCGCCACAGCACAGCATCCTGGGAAATGCTGTCCCCATCCCTGACTTCTGCCTCACGCCTGCCTTTATCAACGCCACACTTATATACCAGCTCTTACACCAGCAGGGACTTTCTGACCCCACTTTACGAAGGGACCTCTGGGCTTGGAACCAGACTATGGCTCGGTCTGCAGTCTCATTGTGAGTGGGACCCTTGAATTAGGGAGAGAAGTTTCCCATGTGCTCAGCTTCCCCAGCTTTACAGGGCAGCGTGGGTGGAGGGTTAAACAAGAGCCCGAGGGCCAGCCTGAGGGCCCGCGGGGTCTGGGCGCTGGAAGCTGTTCCTACAGCTTCCGCTAATGAGGCCTCTTTCTAGGAAGGCCCTCATTGAAGGACTGCAAGCTCAGAAGGCCGGTGACGCTAATGAGGACTGGTTGTGCTGTGGGAACAGCTGCTGAGTGAGGTTAACTAGTGGGGACCCAGAGAAATGGCCTAATGGCTCCGGTGGCATTTCATGGGCACCACTCAGCCAGCGCCATGACCAGGAGCTCAGGGAGCGGGGCAATGCGGGGCTGGGGTGGAATCTCTACCCAGCTGGTCTGTAACTTAATGCTTCTCATAGTGCTGGCATGGGTAGTACTATCCCAGCCAGCAGAGATCACAGACCTGTGAGCCCTCCAGGTCACTCATACAGGAGAAATAATAAGTGCTACTGGGGGAGGTGGGCGTTTGAGGAGCACTCATGGGTGGCACTGGGGGAGGTGGGCGTTTGAGGAGCACTGGTGGGTGGACTGGGGGAGGTGGGCGTTTGAGAACTGGTGGGTGGACTGGGGGAGGTGGGCGTTTGAGGAGCACTCATGGGTGGACTGGGGGAGGTGGGCGTTTGAGAACTGGTGGATAGCACTGAGGGAGGTGGGCGTTTGAGGAGCACTCATGGGTGGACTGGGGGAGGTGGGCGTTTGAGGAGCACTCATGGGTGGACTGGGGGAGGTAGGCATTTGAGGAGCACTCATGGGTGACACTGAGGGAGGTGGGCGTTTGAGGAGCACTGGTGGGCGACACTGAGGGAGGTGGGCGTTTGAAGAGCACTGGTGGGTGGACTGGGGGAGGTGGGCGTTTGAGGAGCACTCATGGGTGACACTGAGGGAGGTGGGCGTTTGAGGAGCACTGGTGGGTGGACTGGGGGAGGTGGGCGTGTGAGGAGCACTCGTGGGTGACACTGAGGGAGGTGGCCGTTTGAGGAGCACTGGTGGGCGACACTGAGGGAGGTGGGTGTTTGAGAACTGGTGGATAGCACTGAGGGAGGTGGGCGTTTGAGGAGCACTCATGGGTGGACTGGGGGAGGTGGGCGTTTGAGAACTGGTGGATAGCACTGAGGGAGGTGGGCGTTTGAGGAGCACTCATGGGTGGACTGGGGGAGGTGGGCGTTTGAGGAGCACTCATGGGTGGCACCAAGGTTCTGTGATATCAGCTCTGATCAGTCCCGCTGTCTCTTCTAATCTCGACAATCTTCACATGATCTCTTGGGCCAAGCCATTTATACCTCTTTGCTCTACAAGAGCATCTACAGTGCTAATCACTTCAGCCATTTACCTTCCCATGGCCAGGCAGGAAGACTTTGCATGTCAGACATCTGTCCCTTGAGAAAGCCAAGCCTAGGCACTCTTGTCACCTACCTCCCCAACGACAAGAGACGCAGAGCCAAACAAAGCCTTGCCCATACCATTCTCCAGGGCATCGCCAAGTGTGAAGCTCCCCTTCCCCAGCCCCTGCCAACACTGTCTGGTCCACTGAGCGGGGAGCAGACACTGAGCACATGCTGACTAGGGCCACAAAGCTCATGGCAGAATGATTTCCAGCTCATTTTTTTTTTTCTTCAGTCAGATATAAAGAGGGCTTAAGAGCAGTTCTGGTGACAGATTGCCTTGCAATCTGGGATGTACATCTCAGAAGCAGTACAGGAAGTGAGTGGCCTGGAAGGTGAGTGACATGCCTACAGCTTCTTATTTATCTGAAAAACCTTAGCATATGCAGCTGTAGAAAAGGGGGGGGAGGGGGAGGAAGGAAACTAATGCTGAATTCTGACTCATTCTTGCTGCAAGATGCATCCAAGGATTTCTGAACAATCACATTTCTATTCTTTTGTTTAAGGTGTGGCTTCAGTATACTTTCCATTTTAGGTTTAACAATTACTCATAAAAACTGTCTATAAATGTCCATATCTAGGGCTAGCAAGATGGGTCAGCAGGTTAACGCCCCAAAGCCAGATAACCTGAATTTAAATCCCGAGGACCCACATGGTAGAAAGAGAAAACTGACTCCCCCAAATTTTCCTCTGACAAACAATGGAACACATGCACTCCCCACAAGGAAATAAGTATAAAAGAAAACCTTTCAATATCTAATGTGGCTTTAATAAATTGTTTATGTTTAAAAATAGACTTAAGTATGTCTCTATAATCCTAGCACTCAGAATGCTGAGGCAGAATTGTAAATTCAAGGTGAGCCTGAATTACTCAGCAAGTTTGAGTCCAGCCTGAGCTAAATAGTGAGGCCTTGTCCAACAAATCCAGCAAAATAAAAAGCTGTGATAGCCCAATCTAGAGAACTCTAAAAAAATCCCAAGAGTCAGGCAGAGAAGTTCTATAAGGGCCAAAAAGTGTCTCTGAAAATAGAATCTTCTAGGGATAGTGGGATGAAGGCAGGGGCTGGGGAAAAGGGGGCAACAGAAGCCACCTGCTAACAAAGGGTTTTCTTTTTCTTTCTTTTTTTTTTCTTTTTGGGTTTTTTTGAGACAGGGTTTCTCTGTAGCTTTGGAACCTGTCCTGGAACTAGCTCTCGTAGACCAGGCCAGCCTTGAACTCATGGAGATCTGCCAGCTTCTGCCTCCCAAGTGCTGGGATTAAAGGCGTGTGCCACCAATGCCCGGCTTGACAAAGTGCTTGAAGACAGGTAACAGCACTATCTACGTGTGTTTTGGTGTGCTTTAAGGTGCTGTGACAGTTTTCTTCTAAAATTCAGATATTTACCAAAATGTCAGAAATCACATTTTCCATGCTTTAAATGTATTCAATGCCAAACTAAATATGTATAAAAGTGAATAATTTTTCAAAGTTTATTTTTGTGGGGTACTTAGACAAGGGGCTCTTTTCAAGCCTATAATCTGTTGGCTTCTCCCTCCTCTTCTGCTGCGGGGGTGAGGGGGGCAGAGGAATAGAGGTGGAGCCTGAAGCCAAGCTCTGTTTCCTCTTGTTTGTGGCCCCTGAGGGGTCTTGCCTCCCCTCCCTCCCAGTTCCAGAATCTCAGTCCCTGACACAAGCGGTGTCTGCATTGGGGATGGGGCAGATGTCATCCACGGGGATAATAAAAGGTCCGGCCCTTTGAACCCGAAGACTCCAAACCCCCCCCACACACACACCAGAGGAAGGCCTGCTTGAGTCCAGGACATCACCTCTAAGGAGAGGGACATGGCTCTGGCCTGTAGACATTCTGCCTTCATCATTGGCCCACTTCATCTCTCCAGTGTCCAGCTGCTCGACTTGAAGTTTGCCACCCCCACAGGTACCTGGCTGATGTCGCAAAGAGCGATTTCTGCAGCAGAGGCTGAAGCAGTCTGAGGAGAGATGCTCGGATTTGGGTGAGCCTCCTCACCGACTCCCTCTGGCTCTGGTGTTCTCCTCTTCTGTCCAGCATTGTGTGTCTGACTGGCCCGAGAGTGTGGCTTTCCGTCTGTCTCATCTCCTGATCCCCAGACTGAGCCCAGGCTGAACGGGGGGGGGGGGGGGGGGGGGGGGCGGGCGGGGGTGTTTCCCAGGAAGGACAGCAGACTGAGCACTCTCCTAGAGACACAGGGGCAGGAGGACTGGGAAAAGAGCGGAGCGGCAGCTTGGTGAAGGGTTGCTTCTGAGGAGGGAGGCTTCTCTGCTAGACAGTCTCTGCCATGAAGCCAGATAAGTTAATTCTTGCCTCCCCCACCTCCAGAGGGCACCCTCAAGGGAGGGCACCATAAGTGTGGAACCAGAAGCAGAGCCAACTGTAGGTGCTGAGGGTGGTCCAAGTAACTGGGTGACTTGGCCAGCCCTTGCCTGCTCCGCACCTCGGTTTTTTTCCTATATAAATGGTGCTTCAGTGAGGATTCGCAGGAGAGGCCAGGTGTGCAAAGATGTGGTGAAGTGAGGGGGCCCGCCATGTTCCTCTGCTCCCTCTTGCTTGTAGACGTGTGGCTGCCCCGGGCCCTAGTCCTTTGGAGCCCCCTTCCATAGCTTTCCTTTCCTTCCAGACTGGAGAGTTGATCTCTCCTCTCCTTCTCCTGCACCCCAAGGGCCAGTGGAGCAAGGAGGACCCAGGGGAAGGCTGTAGAGGATGGGGAAGCTGCCTCAGTGGTGCAGTGACGACAGAGAGACGACAGAGGGTCACACGGCAGCTGTTTGCTTGATGCTGTGGAAGCTGATCCTGGTGGGGGATGTGGGGATGGACATGGCCCGGGCCACAGGCACTCGGAGGGAGTGATGGTCCTGCCAGCGGTGCCATCTCTTCCTCAGGGCTGAGCGCACCTGCAGGGAGGGAGAGGCTCAGTCACCTGCTGGGCCAAGCCTCTGCCAGTCCCCCAGCTCCACCTCAAGAACCATTAAAGGAGTCTGGGATGGCCCTCGGCCTGCCACCTCACTCCAAGAGGCTGATGAGGTCCCAAACTGCGGTCCTCCCCTGAACACCGTTGCCTGCCCTGCAGTTTCTGAGGGAGCCATTCTCCCTCTCCTGGAGAGGCCGGCCTGCTTAAGGTTCCAGTTTCCTGTGGCTACCCCTGCCACCATGACTTAGGCCTCTCTAGATTTGTAAATCAGCTCCTCAGCTCAGCTCAGCCCCTGCTGGACCCGGCATCAGGCCCAGCTTCCTCCTCATCAGGAAGGGCCTCTCCTTGTCCCCTCTGCAGACCAGCCTTCCCTACCATTGTCTGAGGGGAGGCTCCTGGCTCGTTCTCTACACCCCACTCCCTTCTGTTTGTATGGTAATGGCAAACATCAGCTTCTTTCTGTGTGTGTGTTTCCAGTGAGCACTATGGTGTATGTGTGGAGGTCAGTTTTCATTCAGGAGTTGATTCTCTCTTCCACCATGTGTGTTTCCGGGGTTGAACTTGGGTGGTTGGGTTTGGCATCCAAATGCCTTTATTCACTGAGCCATTTCACCAATTCTGCTGAGTTGGTAAAGAACTTCTTGAATGACATTTTTCTTTATTTCTGGAACCTTCCATCTGTCATCCCCTCTGTGTGGCTTTTACAGGCCCTGCTATCTGGGCATTTTGCTCCCTGGCTCAGAGAGCATGCACAGGGTGCTGACATGTTACTTCTGGCTTGTGTAGTGAGCTACACTGATTCCACAGATTTGCCCAAAGCTGAATGCTTTCTCAGCTCCCCTACCGCCTGGAGCTGAGCAGAGCCGGCAATGGAGCTCGTCTGAAAGGCAAGCTTGACCAGATCAGGCATGAGTACAGTGTAAAGGCTGAGCCCCTAGACTACAAGGGAGGCCCGTCTCCTACCTCTCCATTGAAGAAGCAATAGAAGACAGACACAAAGAAACCCTAGAAAGGAAGGAAAGTTGTCAGATATCGGCTGGGGAGTCATTCCCGCTGGAGGTGTGGGAGAACACAGAATGGCTGGAGGCACACCTCCCAGGACTTAGGGCTCGGGGCTGGGTGGGACCTCGGAAGTTCTGGGCCCAGACAAGGGATGCAGTTACAATAAGGTATGTAACTACGTGGCTGTGGTTTCCAGCCTGGCCTTGGCATCCCAAGCTCATCCTAGGTATTCTCAGAAGTGTTAACAAAACTGAACGCTGGGATGAGAAGGTGGGTGGCATGACCAGGGCAACCTTGTCAGCATCTGGGGCCCAGTGGGGTTCCAAGTGTGCCAGCACTTGGGTTCCGGTGCTCATGTAACTGATCCTAGTGCGCAGGCCCATGGTGAGCATCCGGAGCTGGGAAGTGTCCTGTCGCTGGGGTACCTACCTGGAAAGACTGCAGGAACGAGTTGAAATAGATGAACACAATCTGTGACAGGTCGTCCTCCCCAGGGTTGACAAAGAAGAGCATGTAGGTGATGCCCAGCAGGGGGAGGAGGACCAGGGTGGCCTTCACTGCCTTCCTGCATGGGAAGCAAGAGGGCAACGGCAAACTTGAGTTCACCCACTGTAGGCAGCACTCACTCAGGTGGGGAAAGGGGCTGCCCTGCTTGGCTTCTGGGAGCTGGAGCAAACTCTGGGGTGAGGACTTCCAGGGCTCTAATGAGAGAACCTTCTTGCCTCTTTGCTGCCTGTCAGGGCTCTAGGCATTCCCATACCTGTACTGGATTGTCTCGGATGTGGTTGATGCTCGTAATTTTGTCATCAGGATCCTGACGATGTTGAAGAGGAATATAAAATTGATCTGGAAGAAAGCAGAGAGGGACAAAGGGAGGTCTGTGGGGGTGACTCAGAAGCAAACCTCCTCCCCGAATCCCTGACATCTGCCCCCGACACATGCCCCAGCACCAAGCACCTGCTGAGACTGCCCAACTTCTGCTCTTCCCTAGCCTGGGCAGGAGGCATCCATTGACCCCAGGTCCTAATCTCCACCAGTGGCCCAGGCAGTTTGTAAAAGCGGTGCGTGGGAGAAGTGACCACTCCTCTGGGGTCCCTTCTGAGAGCCTCAATTCTTGCCCTCCTCTGAGACTACACAGAACCACACCCCAGATCTAGGATCCATCTGTCTTCTCTTGGTCACAGGGTTCCTACTTATTGATGGAAGATCTCAGAGGCCCTCAAACTGTCACCAGCTCTAGGTTGGTCAAAGGTCCTTTCTGCTCAGCTCTGGGCGGGGAGAGGCACACAGTCCAGGTGGAGTGGTTAATCTCTACCCTGGCTTCTAGGCGCTCCTAAGCCTTCAGACACCCACAGGCGCGGAAGATGAATGGGCTCTGGGAAGGGACTAATTTATCTTCATTACTGCTTTCCCTTAACATCAAAGACACGCCCACCTCTCACTGCCGCGGGCCTGCTGGCTCCTGACTCAGCTTCGTGCTGCGTGGGTCTCTGTGGATCCCCAGGGTCTCTTGGTCTCTGAGGGACTCTTAAGGGTCAGTGAATTGGTCAGCTGGTCCCCGAGCTGTGTTATCACTCTGTGTGGGTCGCCCTATATGTGTGTCCCCCATGTGCTTGTCTCAGAGTGGATCTTGTGCGACCATGCGTGTGTGTCTATCTGGGAACACCGTGTGCCTGCATTTCTCTTCATGTACTGCCAAGCACAAGCAAACAGGAATGGGACTGTGTACAAGCCTGCTGGGACTCCTTCCTCAGAAAATGTTCACAGGCTGGGAGGCATGTAATTAGCCTAGGGATGTCTGCTGGCCCGTAGGTGGAGATACACACATGCCCCCCACTCCAGTCTCTGTCTAGAAAAATCCATTGCTTCTACTAATGGAGGCAGCCCTTCTCATCCTCCTATATGATAGATTCCAGGCAGGGTGTGAGGGGCATGGTCAGCCTTGCTGCCCCTGTCTCCCAAGCTGTAGAGGGACAGGAGGATTCGAACTCTCGCCTCCCTGTGGCCTCACCACTCTCTCCCATGTATACAGTATACAGTCTAGTGAACCCACAGCTGAGGAGGAAGCCTTCCAGGAGGCTGTGCACGGCCTGCTGCCTGCTTTCTCTAAAGGCTCACCTATCCTGAAATAACACAAACTCCTTGGTCTTTTTCCAGTTCTTTCTGACTTCTCTGAGAGCAGAGACTATTGGAATAAAAAGATACTCAAATTTCTATATCATTTTCTTGCATTAAATATTTAGTTCACTAATTAGTTCATTCAATTATCTACCCAATGTTTCATCTCTCCATTAATTTACCAAGCATTCATCCATTTATCCATCCACTCTCCCACAAAATACTTCATTCAATTGTCCGCCTATTGTTTTTGCCCATCCACCCAACCACCCATCCATCTATTCATCCACCCACCCACCCATCCATCCATCTACCCATCCATCTATCCATCCATCCATCCACTCATCCATCCATCCATCCATCCATCCATCCATCCACCAACCCATCCATCTATTCATCCACCCACCCACCCATCCATCTACCCATCCATCCATCCATCCATCCACCTACTCACCCACGTACCCAGAGGTCACCGAGCACCCCTTGACTACAGGGCCTTGTTCTCTGTGGTGAGCAGGCAGGAAAGGTGGCCGATATGGAGCATCTAGGAGACCTGGCCTTCTCCTTTGACTAACAAGCTACCCCCACCTGGACTTCTGCCCCCAGGAAGCTACCCTTTTCTTCCCAGTTTATTTCCCAGGCTCCTCCTTTATGGTGTCTACATCAGACACCTTCCTTCCTCTCTAGGGAGCCTGCTGACCACTCCAGCCCACACAGACCTCTTCAGGTCTCCACCTTAGACGCTACCCTGCATGCCAAAGCAAAACATACCATCTCCTCCATGAGCTATCATACCCAGACACGGTCCAACCTGGATCTTAGTATGTATTTAACCATTCTTGCACTCAACCAATCATCTTGCCATGCCAGCCTCTGTGCTGGGTACCAGTGAAAGGTATGTGGACAGGCAGACACAGCGCCTGCTCCCAGATAGCTACGGCCTAGTTGCAGATGGGGAGGGACTGCATTTTTCCTACAGACTCACTAGAAAGGTCTGGAGAAACGGCAAGACAGTAAGCTGAGAACCAATGACAGCATTAGCTGTGAAAATGGGAGTTTTCAGGCAGAGTCCAGGCCAGGAGAGAGGGGTCTTGGGTGGAGGAGCCAGCCCCTGATGGTGGCCAATGTAATGCTGCTTGTGGGAGTCAAGACAGGCTCCAGGAGGAAGAAGCACCTGAAAGCCCATGCAGGAAAATCCATCTCCTCCAACAACTCCCTTGCAGCCTGGAATGTTCTTAAGGTGGACCACATGGCTGGAGTTTCAGGGGCTGGAGCAGCACAGGTGAGGCTAGCTCTTGAAGAAGCTTCCCCTGAGCAGTCTCATCTTTCCACACCCCTCGCATTGGTGGCTCAGCGCCATGGACACTTGCATTCCATCTCCTTCTCCCCAGGAGGCTCAGCGGAGGGGGTGGGTGCTAGGCCTTGAGGGGCTTGAGCCTGGAAGGTGGTGGTCGCTATCAAAGTAGCCACCATGCAAGAAGATCTTGACTCTCACAGAGCATCTCTGTCTCTACACTCTTGTGACAGGACGGGCCGCGGGAGGCCTACGCATGCCTAGAGCCCAACAATGAAGACCTAGTGTTCACACCGTTCCAAGCGTAGTCACAAACACTACACAGCTATTCCACAAGCTCCAGCCTCTTTTACAGGCAGGCCCCACCACCAGCCAGGCTTTATGGATACCCAGGGTGCAATAGAACGATTTGTCAAGCCATAGATTGCAGCCCTGGCTTCAGAAACCCCTTTCCCCTAGCCCCTCCACACGCTTCTGCTACAGGGAAATGTGGGCAGAAAGAAACTGGCTTTTCTCTCACGCTCAGCAGCTCAGATGCCCTCCCCATTGGAGGTCTGTCCTAGGGAGGTTTTGAGTACTCTGGGACCTGCTGAGAAAGAGTCCAGAGAGCCAACATGTATCTGAGTCCCCTAGACATATGCTGCACCCATGCGTTATAGTGGGAGAGCTTGGGGCCAAGAGGGCAGAGCTCCCTCAGGATCACACCACAGACTCAGGGGCTACAGCCACTACTTATCCCACAGTGCACATGGCACAGCCCTGCCTAACACTCTAATTCAAGGCAGAGAAAGTACAAAGCCAGATCACTGCCCTGCACCCCCAGAGCTCCCAAGCCTGCTGGAGGGGAAGTACTTCTTAGTACGGCATGCTGCTTGCTCACGGAGCCACGTTGTTGCCAGATCCTCACTGAGAGGGAGGCAGGGGTTGACGTGGCAGGTAGGGGAGAACACAAGATAACAGAACAGGTGACTTGGTTCATCTCTCTGTGGTCTTCAGATTTGCCTTTTGCCGTCTTTAAGCTGGCCGCCTTAGACCTAGGGGACATCTCTACTCTGCCCTAGCCTGGTTCTGAGCAGGCCTCTTCAGGCTTTTTGCATTTGCCTCAACATTTTGACTCTCACCCATCTTGTAACTCCCTGCACCACACCTACGTCAGGACCACACCTCTATTCTCTCCATGGGTCTACACAGCCCAGGAACCCCTCGAGATAGATTCAGTTAGCAGCTACAGCCCCTGGGAGACTGATCCTCACTAGATGCATCACTACATGCACGGAGCTGATTAGCACAGGGAGGAAGTTCTGATAGCACAGGTCCCCTGCCAGCAGCTGTGCACACCCGACTTGACACTCAGGACCTGTAGAAGGGCTCAACTCAGATCCTGGAAGCCTGTATATATGCTAGTATATAACTAACTGGCTCCAAAGGAAAGGTGTACACAGCAGGAGACGTGGGCAGACTTGGGCAGTAGGGAACCGGACTCCAAACTCCCCCTCCTTCCTTCTTTATGGTTCCCCTCACTACCTGAACAGCAGCGTTAGGCAGGAGCTCATTCCCAAGCTTTTGGTTCCCGTCCAGGCCAGCCTCCTTGGCTGGGTCCCAGGTTTCTCAAAAGCCCCATCCCTTTACACGAGCTCCTGGCAGCTGGCTGGGAGGTTTTTGTTCACACTGAGGGGTGAGTGAGTCACTGCAGCTGCCAGTCCAAGGACAATCCTTCCCTCACAGCTGACAAAGACCAGCCTCTGCCTCTTCAGTGAGTGCTGCCCTGAAGGTGGGTGGAAGACCTTTCCAGTCAGCTTCGGCTGATGTCCATCAAGGACACTCCAAAGATGGGGTCCAATGACTCCAACCGTCACAGGAAGGAGAGAGTCAGGAAAAGGAAGAGATAAATGGTACTTGTCGCCATGGTAGACAAAGGTAGGCCCCGCTAGGCACTTGCTGTGTGCAAGAGGAGGGCATCCTCTGAGTTTGCCAGAAGGCGCCATGACCCTTTAAGAGAGCTGGTATACACAGAAGCCTGAAATAAATCTTACGTAAATGCCAATTTCTTATGGGGCTTTTTTTGTATATATATATATTTAATGTATGATATATAATGGACTCTTTTTTTCCCCCTAGAATGCAGCCCCTACTTAAACTCTATCTTAATTAAAGCTTGTTGTGGATTAAAGATGTGGTGGCAATTATATCCTAGATGCGAATACGCTTGGCAAAGGGCGGGGAGCTGGCCTAGGAACAATCGCTCATTATGCTGTATTCTGGAACCTGCTGCCAGCCCGAGGGCGGGGGGCGGGGCCCTAGAGGGTGTTCCTGGGGGGCCGAGGAACTCGGCTCTATGCTGAACCCACCTTTCCCTAGTACCAGCTGCTTGCCTACCTTCCCGTTTCGGCATTGTACCTAGCACGGAGCTTACAACCCGGAAAGGCACTAGTACTGACCAGTCGGACCATTTCCCCACCCAGAGAAAATGCCAAAGGAAGTCTGGAGCCATGTGCAGGTGGCCCCCTAGAGAACCCCTAGAGGATCAGTGGGATGGAAGCTGGGTGCTTTGTGCAGGGCACGGGAGCAGTATAGGGTGCTGCCCAGGCCAGGTCTTTGTCTGTGTCTCTGCCTGGGTGGATTTCCTGCTATGCTCCTAGTGCCCCAACCCTTTAATCCCCCGAGGACGTACCAAGAGCACGAGGATGATGGGGCCCTGGTAGATGTAGTCCACCAAGTCACCAGGTTCCTTGCCAAACCAGCACCTGCAAAGACAGGGCAGCTGAGGTGACCTGCTGGGCGATGCCCAGAGGGTCGTTCTCAATTCAGAGCTAGGCCCCTCTAGAGGGACCCTTCCTGAGCCCAACCTCCAGGGAAGTTCTTGGTAGATGCTGCCCTTGCAAGGCCCTTCCCCGTCTTTTGTTGTATCTGGTGGGACTGCGGCTGACCTTCGGGGGGGGGGACAGCCTCATGATTTGCCTGTGGCCTCCTCTGCCGTCCCTTACTCTGCTGCAGGCTGTGGGGACCCAGGATGGGGAATGCAGCAGGTATAGGAAGCAAGGAAGAGCTGAGCTCTCCTTCACTGGTCTAGGACCGAGTTGTCCTGTCCCACCTGTTGTTTATAGAACACAAATGGCAGACACTCTTGGCACAAAGCTGCAGGTGTCCAAGTGGGGTCTTCTCTAGTCCTGGGCTTCTTACTCTCAGTGAAAGCAACCTACTGCCTGGTCAGGCTTGCTGACTGCTGGAAATGCTTTGGGACCCAGAAGAAAGGCTAGGCTAAGTTCCTGACTCTGTCAGCAAGTGCCAACCTTCAGAGGTCACCCAGTGTATGGCAGTCTCAGACAGCCATCTCAGAGCACCCCAAATTTCTGTTCTGTTTGACAGCTCCTCTGAGTGAAAGCTTGTCACCTACCAAGACAGCCCCCCACTTTCTGAGCAGTGTTTGTCTTTATGAGCCTTTCCTAGTGCTAGGGTCCTTAAATGGGATCCTAGTCTCGTTCCACACCCTAAATGCTACTTGCTCCCTCTTGCCCTGTGATCTCATGGGGAGCTACTGTCGTAAGGGCTGTGGTCTGGTGTCTCAGCCTCGGATGGAAGGAAGGCTGAACTGAATTCCACAGAACCACTGTGGAAGCCTGGTGTATGCGGACTCACAGGGGAGGACCTATTTTTTTCTGCCCGAGGACCACGAAGGAGAGGTCTGCTCAGGTAAGGGTTGCGATTCCACCTCTCCCAGCGCTGGACCAGAGCCAAGGCTGACTGAATTATCTTAAACTGAAACCCCCATGCTGGCCTGTCCCACTTACTGTTCATTCTCATAGTAGAGTTTGCCGAGTGCCCAGGCGATGATGATTGGGCAGGGGATGCCTGAAAGGAGAGACATGGGCTGCACAGGGTGGACAGACGCATAAAGATCCTCTTGTATCAAGGCAGGAGATCACAAGGGGCTTGGGGGTATGTGTTTAGTCTTCTAACTACAGGCCACCTGTGACACTATGGTGCCTGTCTCAGCTCCTGCCCCAAACCTCAGCCATTCTTCCCAAGCAGAGGAAGGCTTTCTGGAATGCCCTCTGGAGGGTTTGGGGGCAGAATGGAGAAAGCAGATGCATCCTAAGGGGGAGCAGGGGTGTGGCGGGCAGAGCTGTATGGGGCATGGGTCAGGATGGCATAGGGTAATGACAGGAGCTGCGGGAGTAGCAAGGCAGCTGGTTCGAGTCCTCGGTCTCAAGACAAAGGCGGGGGGGGGGGAGTTTTATCAGCTGTGCCCCTTTCCCCAGAAGGTCCTCCTGCCCGGGAACCCTCACACCATCCAATGAAGAGGAAGAGCCACTTGCGCAGGTGCTCCGTGGAGTACGTCAGGACGATGGCAGTGTGCAGGTAGCAGCCCTCCACAAACATCCAGAAGAAGTTGGTGACCACGAAGTAGTTAAAGATGGTGGTGATACAGCGGCACCAGACCTGCGTGTGGGGCGGGGTGGTGAGAGCTGCTGGGACAGAAGAGCAGGTCCCACAGAGAGGCAAGGGACCTCCCACTTTGGGGCTCACAGGCAGGGTTCCAAATAATACCAACTCTCAGTGGGGTAGCTCAGCCTCCCACCCTCATTTCTGGGCAGCTCTTCTCCCCCCACCCCCGCCTCTTCAGTCTCTTTTTGCTTATGTGCTATAGGGGACAGAACCCAGGTCTCCCTCCTGCTTGGCAAGCATTCTGAGCTACAGTCCTACCCTTTTAAGACATTTGGAAAGACTTGTATTTTCTATCAGTACTTCACGAAATTGTCCAGGCTGGCCGTGAACTCACTATGTGACCCAGACAGGCCTTGAACTTGTAAAACTCTTTCTCAGTTTCCCAAGTAGCTGAGATTACAGGCTGACATCACCATGCCTGATGTCTCTTTTCAGTCTAGAAAGGGAGACTGGTTGGCTTCCTGCAAACAGAGCTGGGTCAGAAGAGCCCTGTTCTCATTATTCAGATCACTTTGGCTACACAGCTAGTCAAATTGGGTCCAATTAGGGATAGACTTTGAACTTTCCCTTAAAAAGAATGAAAACAAGCTGAGCAGTGGTGGTGCACACCTTTAATCCTGGTACTTGGGAGGCAGCGGCAGGTGGATCTCTGAGTTTGTGGCCAGCCTGGTCTACAGAGTGAGTTATAGGACCACCAGGGACACACAGAGAAATCCTGTCTCAAAGAATCAAATAAACAAACAAAACCAAGAAATGAAAAGAATGTGCGGGAAACAAGTCCTCAGAACAAGAGTAGTGGGGGCCCTGGCCACTGAGGTATTAGGCTGGCTCACGGGGGCGGGGGTAGTGCAAGGTCTTGCTGGTTTTGAGGCCTATACAAAGCTGGTACTTCTCTGAGGCTCGAGGCAACCACTTTGCCAGTGGTGAGGAGAAAGGCACTGAGACACGAGTGGGAGCTGTGGTCAGGGCTGCCACTGTGTGGCCTCTCAGCAGGGCAGCGTCCTTCCCTGTTCCTCTGAATGAGGAGATGCCCCTGAGAGCCTATTTCACGGATGTAGGGAGGATGGGCACTGGCCCAGACTCACACAGTAGACCCCTCTGGGCCAGGGTCCCAGCCATGCGTTTTCATCCCTGTGGCTTCCTTTATCACAGGACTCTCTTATGGGCAACGTGAGCGAGTGAAGAACGTGGGTGCAGCAGCTGACTGGGTGAGGAGAGCCCTGGCAGCCTACTTCCTCCCTGCGTGGCCAGCCACCTGACTCCTGGGTACCGCTCCTAGGCTGAGCTGCCTGCTGACCCACGGCTCTATCCTATAACTCCAGAACTAATCCTGGGTTCATGGAGCTGCTGGCTCCTTTGTTCTCGAGAGTGTTAGTGGGTGGGAGGCTATGAACCTTAAACAGTAAAGCGTCCCTTTTTTGCAGGTGAAGTGCGGTCTCATTAGTTCCAGCCAGCATTGGGCCGGGAACATAACATACCTGACACCTCATGGCACTGGCCTGGCTCTGAGGGCCCTGAGGCAGACTTCAGGCCAGGCAGAGTTCAGGATCAAACGTGTGTGTGTGTGTGTGTGTGTGTGTGTGTGTGTACATGCGTGCATGCGTATTTTCAGGATCAGACCAGCCAAAAAAATGTACTGAGATATGCCAAAGACTGGGGTTGGCCTTCTTTCAGTCTACAGTTGTACAGTGCCTTGGACACTATGAAGTGACAGTTGACACAAATCCTAATTGGGACCACGGTGTGGAGGTACCATACCAATGTGCAACCTTCACCTTTTTGGGCTTTGATTTCCATGTCTGTGGAAGGGGAATCAATCTCTCCAGCCCTATGTTAGAAGTTAGTAGCATCTCCTTTTCCTCTAAGGTACCTGGCCATGCAAGATGGATAAGGGCAGCGGGTAGGGGCAGGGAAGCGGAGATGGTTTTAGCTGGGAGCAAGTCCCAAGGCCTGGCCCACGGTGGGTCACTACATGAGACAGACTATCAGGCAGCAAGACAGGCACCCCCAAGTCTGCGGCTCCCGGCAGTGACCTCATTGCCTTCGTGAACTTCGTGGTCAATCAGCTGCAGCAGGAACCACGTGACGTTCCTCAGGATGAAGGTGGTGATGAGGTTCCAGTGGATCACATTCCGCAGGCAGCGAATGCTCCTGTGGAGGCCCAGGTCAGGGTCAGCCAGTCTGGCTGGGGCTTGGGCTGGGGGTCAGCAGGGTAAGGACCCCCTGTGAAAGACTTGGGATGAGGTGGGTCTGCACCAGAGCCCAAGTCCCCCCTGGTGGTCACAGCTGTGCCTGTTCTCCACCCTTCAGGCGGCTCCAGCACCTGGCTTAGCCCATCTCTGTCCATTCTTCCCGGGCCCCAGAATGGAGGAGACAGTGAGGTACTGGAGGGCTGGCTCACGGAGCAGGGGTGCAGGAGATGGACTCACCGCAGGAACAGGAAGAGCAGGAAAGCGGCCACTAGGGCCACCACGGAAAAACAGTGGCCTAGGTAGTTGACAATGAGGGCGATTCGGTAATGCAGGTCATACTTCCTCTGCTGGACAGACAGACAGAAACATGACTATGTGGGAGTAGGGCTGGTGCTCCAGTCATTGCTGTCCTGACCTTGCGACAACAGAGGCCCTAAGTACCTCCTCCAATCCCGGCTTCTCGCTCTTCCCCTTGTTGGCCTGGTGGTTCTGATATTATAAATGGCCGAAGCCCGGAGGTGCAGACCTGTAACCCAGTTACTCGGGAGGTTGAGTTAAGAGGACCTACCTGGTCCTCAATGACTCAAAATACAATAGAGGCTGGAGCTGAGGATCAACGGTAGAGAGCTTATCCTGGGCTCAGTCCTCAGCCACACACACCCACATCCACAGAAGCCGTGGTCAGGCCTCCCAACATGAATTTTTAAGAGCACATTTGGACATGGTCTTTGATAAGGTTTCTTTGTGTAACAGTTCTGGCTATCCTGGAACTCTTTTGTAGACCATGTTGGCCTCGAACTCACAGAGATCTGCCTGCCTCTGCCCCCCAAGCACTGGGATTAAAGGCATGCACCACCACTTCCCAGGGGGCACAGTTTATTCTGAGATGCCCTAGAGCTGTAGATACAGACTAACATTTGAGGCTCTACAGTGCCACATCTGGCTGCTCAGACCCCAGCTGGCTGAGCAACCGAGGGTGAGATGGCCCTTACTATACTACGTCATATACTACCTTCCCTCCTACCTTAGAAGCAGTGACCTACGGGAGGCCCAGAGAGGTAGGTTGGGTTTGCTCCCTGAGCCAAGCAATGACGATATGCATTGCAGGACACTTCAGAATAACACTTAGCTGGAATATAAGTCAGTCTAGCTTATATCACCACCCGAGGGGCTGTAAGGACATAGAGGAAGGACGGAGGGCTGCCGAGAGAGAGAGCTTCTTTCTATCCAGGTTGTATGGCTTTCCTCCTGCTCCCGTGAGTCCTCTGTGGAACACCTGTGTACTACTTCTCAGAAGAGGCGAATGTTCCAGCCTCTGCACTTGAACTTTATCTGGGAAAGAGCTCAGACCAACTGGGGACTTCCTTGGAGGAGTGATGGGGGGGGGGGGGCGGGTGGATGGGCCTGGGACATACCATTTTGGGTCAGAAGTGAAGCACAGCTTGCTGAAGGTGGAACTCAGAGTTAGGGTGTTTGCCTAGCACAGGTAATTCCCTGGGTTGGGTCACAGTACTACACCTGATGGTAAGGGAGGTGAGATCGCTGGCAGCACTGAATCCATTTCTATAGCAAGAGTCAGTGCTGGGTGGCAAGGGCCAGGCAGGCCCAGCTCCCTGCCAGATGGTCCCGTTTTTCCATGGAATAGTAGAAGCTAAATTCCAGGCGGGGAAAGTGAGGTTCGGTGGAAGAGGAAAGGGCGCGCTCACAGAACCCACCAGCTGCAGTGGGCACCAACTACATGGCTGTACCCTTTCCAAGTTTCATGCCACCAGCTCCAGCTCTCTCGGAGGGGGATTCTGTGGAGGACAGGACATGCAGAAAAGAGGGTCTGGGCAACACAAAGCCTGGTCCTATTGGCCACAAGATCCTTGTGTTCACCCTGAGTCCTAACACCCTATGCGAACCTGGGTGGGGGAAAGCAGGGTCACTCACCTTGTCGTCCAAAATGGGTTCACAGTGTGAGTAGTTGATCCTTGAGGCCCACGTCCCATTCTCCAAGCATTCTCGGTAGGCATTGCCTAGAGAAGATGCCAACCACTGAGACTCAGGTCACGCTTCCTCCTCAAAAGCCCTCCCTGCCTCCCTGGTACCTGCAGGATAAGGTCCACATTCTTTAGTTCCCCTGGACCTGAAAACACAATGCATATCTGAAAGCTTACATGAGTCATTTATGTGAAAATTACATAAAGGGCTTTATCTTACACAGTAGCTGCAAGGCATGCTAAAACCCACTTCAGGCATACTCTTTGACCAGCTCTTTGTGCACCTCCTTTCATTTTCTTCCTCTGCTACAAAACTGAACCCAATTGTGAGTCCTGGGTTGTGGCTGAAGATTGGCTGCTTTTAGCACAACAGACAATTTCCGTCCCAGCTTCCATCATTTCCCATGTGCACCCCATACCCTTCTCCAGTAGCAGCTTCTGCATTCCAACAATACTGCCACTTACACGGCATGTGTTTGCCTGCCCAGGCACTCGCCTAAACTGAGTCTAATGGACAAGATACATTTGCCACACAGTCTTTGTTCTGATCCTTTTTCTACAGGGGAGGAAACTGAGGCATAGGAAGAGGCAAGAATACCAAGATTGCAAGGTCTGGCTCTGGGTTTTGTGTTCTTGACCTCTAGGTCACCAGGTTGTGGTAACACAGAAGTTTGGCAATGCGAGGCTGTGCTCTTGCCCTGGAACTTCAACCACTTTGCAGGTCACTGTGTGCTGTCTATGTTCAGGGAGCCAGTATTCACATTGAGACTGAATGTGGTATCCAACGGTACACTTTGGAGCAGCAGTGTCCAGGAAACAGAAGCTTGGGCTTCATCAGGCATAAAGCATGAAGGTCGAAAATGCTCAGAGACAAGGTTCAATGGAACTCTGACCCGTGAAGTCTCGATCTGAAGCAGCTCTCTCCATAGCCCACCTCTACACTTTCCAGGCAGGAGGGGGCCTCCTCCCTGAGATCCCTCAAAGCCCTTCCCCAGCCTCTTCTCTGCAGCACACTGTTAGCAGGGAGCTCAGCTCCCCTTTGATTGCAATTCCGAACAATCCATTGTTTGGGGCTGATTTGTTCCAGGGCACTGCTTACGGGCTAATGGGCAGCTGTTCGTGGGTTTTCTTTTTTGGCTCATGTTAGATATACAATATAAAGCTAATTAAAATAAATAGCTCAGAGCACAGAGTCATGGGGCTGCAGGGGAAACTTTAGATTGTTTGTGGATGCATTGAGTTCTGAAAAAAAAATATTAAGTTACTTAGAAACTCACTTCCCCTGAACTGACAGTGAGCTCAGAGAGATGGGATTATTAAGGAGCATTGCCAAAGAGCAGAAAACAATGGAGGGGGGAGAGTCTATTAGCTTAATTATTCTTTAATCTGGTGCTCCAAGCCAATATAGATTTTTCAAATTTAGGGTTTAAAAAAGTTTGCCTCTGGTCTGTCAGGATCCTGCGTCAGCCTGTGGCGCCTCACAATGATTGTAACCCTCAACGAGAGGTCCCAACACCTCTCCAGTGCTCAGTCCCCATCAGAAAGAGATCAGTGGTTACCAGCCGAGGACCCGGGTTCAGTTTCCTAGCACCCATCTGGTGGCACACAGTCACCCCTAAGTCCAATTCCAGGAAATCCAATACTTGGCTCTGACCCCTTTCGGCACTAAGCACACACAGGGTGTATAGACATACAAGCAGGCAGAACACTCATACATATCAAATGTAGAAAGACCCGGACTTCCAAAGTCATGCACTCCTTTATTCAGTGATATCCCTTACCTGGCATGTTGTGGGGACACCTCTGTCACTGTTGGTAAGAAAGGTGGTACTGACCATTGATTACATGACATGCCTGCTTAAAAACCATCAATAAGTCTCTCTTTATCACTCTAAAGAATGAAGTTCAACTTTCTTGGCATGATATTAAGATTCTCTCTACCCCTGGACCCCACGTCTGCCTAGCACTCATACACAGCTGACATTTGCTTTAGCAGGCCTAGAGCATGCTCAGATCGATGCTGCCCTAGACCCCGAGACACTTCTGCATGTGCTCTGTTCTTTAACCAACTCCCGCCTGTCCTCAAACTGGCCCAGTGCCAGCTCCTCCACAGGGCCTGTCTAATGCTCTATATCTGAATCCATCATTCCGCTTCCTCTAAGTACCTCTTCTAGAGAGTCTCACTTCTTGGAACACAGCACGTCAGCTTTTATTGCCCTCGGACTCCATTAACACATACATTTTTGTGTTATCGAATACACACACACACACACACACACACACACACGCACGTGCACAGGAGTGCTTGGATCCAGTTTCACCAAGGAAAATTTAGTTTGACCACAGCCATCACGTCTTCCATTCCACTCTGTTCTAATGTATCCATCTACTTGCTTCATATACAAATGCCAGTCATGACCCACCAAATCAATTTCACAGTGCACTATTGTCACACAATTCGTAGTTTGAAAAACAAAGGATCTATTTTAGAGCATTCGCCATGATTCAATGTGGGCTCTGTCTCTTTGAACCTATTCCTTCCCTTTGCTACTAAGCATAAGCTCCCTGATGACAGACAAGTAGGCAGGGTTCGTATTGGGGCTACTGTGTGCCTCTGGAACAAGACTTGGAGTGCATGTGGACAGCACTGAACTGACTTAGATTTGCTAAGGCTTGAAAATTGTTATCTGAGATGCGGCATGTGAGAGTGTAAAGGGTTCCCTCCGGGGCCCACTGCTGTCTGGGGATGAGTTTCTGGCTATCAACACTGGGTGCCAGAGGACTGGAAGACAGATGTGCTTGCTCTTTGAGGGAGCTGTCTGCTCCAGCTAATGAGGGCACCAAGCCCTCAGGCACAACCTTGGACAGGAGAGTGGAGGAGCCCTGCTCCCTCCTCCCCCGAAACCACAGGAGGATGGACACATGCAGTCTGAGGGCAGATGACCAAGCCAGAACTGTGGGGCTGGATGCAGTGAGGTGGGTACCGGTTGCCATGGTAACACAGGTGCACCTGCTGAGGATCGATGTCAATGGTGTGTGGTGTGGCCTTCTAGGGGCATTAGGATACGGATGCTACAGGTGGGGAATCCCCAGAGTGTCATTGAACTGTTGAAACTTAGACTCTGGATGCTACAGGCAAGGATTCCCAGGGTGGCACAAGACAAAGCAACAGGCTCTCCCTATTTCAGGTGGCAATGGTTGGCTGATAATTCCTTGGTCAAAGGTTCACCCAAAGTCGTTCAGAAGCCTGACTGGGGGATGGGAGCCTATCATTTATCTCTAATTTTGTTTTTGGTGGCTAGGTGACCATAGCCAAGTCTTCTCCCTTTTGTCTCAGCTTCCCCTCTCAGAAAAAGTTATCCCCATTGATACCCCCCCCCACTCCAAATCATTGACATCTTAGGTAGGTTGTTTATCTACTTGGTGCGCCTTTCCATTTTGTTAAATGACAACCATGAAGCCATTCTGACAGTCCCAAGATTCCATAATCCAAATATTCCCTACAATACCACCTCTATTTCTCATATCCTCACTGATAGATGGGGACTTTGTAAAACAGACTGCAGTGAACCATTTTGGGAAATAATTAAAGAGGCAGGTTGAACATAGGAGAAAGAGTGAATGAGGATGTGTTTCAAGGAGAGATGTTGTCATTGGCTATTTGGAAAGGAGAGCAGGTGATGGCAACAGGGAGGTAGGGACTAGAAGAAGTCTTATTTACAGAAGGCAGAACTCAGGCTTAGCCCATTCAGCACCACGGACAGCAAAACCAAGGCGCCAAGTGGATCACCAGCGCTGTAGGTGTGAAGACCTTGGAGAGCTCCTGATCACGTAGATCAGTGTCAGCCTGGTTCCCACAGCAGCTTCTATAGTTGCTGCTGCCCCAAGGGTCCAGCTATTCACCTCTGCCTGGGACATACTGGGCAAGGACTGTTCTTTTGCTAATTCCTGTTTTAAAGGGCCCTTTGCTCCAACCCTGCCCACAGGCTGCCTGGAGTGAGATACTTCATCTCCAGGCTGAGATTCCTTAAAGCAAGGCCTATATTTCCCTCTCATCTGGCCCCTTCTTGAATGCGGAACAGAACTGAACACATAGGGATGGGCCAAGACTGACGTTGTTGCCTCGGATACTGGGAAAGTAAAAGAGTGAGGCTCGTAAAAGCCAAGAGAAGGATTGGCAAACCCTACCACACTGAGCAACCCTTGCAAAGGAGACAACTAAGTATCTCACATATCCAATGACAGGCCAACCCCACTGCCGAAACTTCAACCACCAAAGTCCAAGCCCCTGTCCTGCGGAGCATCAATCTCAAAAGGCAAACACCATGGGCAGCATCCTTTATTTGCCAGATAGTCTTCGTTGCTCTGGGGGGAGGGGGCGTATTAGAAACTGAGTCAGTGGGCAATTCCTTGAGAATGTAAGAGGGGAAGGAAACTTATCCCTCATCTTGTTTATTGAGATCCAAAAAGGGAAAGGAAGTGACATATCTGTGGTCACCCACAAGTGTGGGCCTTCCCTGGGGGAACACATCCTCCTGAGATGCCATAGAGCCAGTTTTTTGTGCCTAAGTTTCCTGCAGCCAATTGTGCCATCTCTGAGGGCTGCTGGGATTCCTAGTGACCACATTCAAAGAAGGAAATACCTTAGGGACACATAGCCCACTTCAATCTCCCTGTTACCTGATGTCCAAGTGCCACAGATTAAGGCATTTAACTGACTCTCATTTTTCTTGCTTGGTGAGAAACAAGTCTCACCAGCTTCTCCCACCCTAGTCTCCACTGCCTGGCACGAGCAGCAATAATGAACGGAATGACTGACTACCTGCTGAAGAGACCGCTGTGGAGGCATCGACAGAGCTGGGTGGCTGAGACACAGTCACGATGCCAATAGAGGGTTCCCAAGCCTCCCAAATGAGGTGGACCTCCCCAAAGGAGTGGTTCTGTACAGGACAGTTCGGATGGGCTAGATCTAGGATCAGCTTACATATTTTCTTGGTCTTATCATAACCTTTAGGAAATAGGTGACCAGAGATCAG